CAGTAAGCCACAAAATTCCCCATCTTGTACGGAATCTTAACCACATTCACAAAGTCCCACCAATAATTTATACAAAGATCTACATAATTTTAATATTCGCCTACAAACTACGCCTTGGTTTTGCAAGTGGAATATTTGTTTCAGTTGTACTAATCAAAGTTTATTGTGGATTTCTCATGTCTCTTACACGTGCTACATGCTCAGACGATCTCATCTTCATTAATGTTATCGCATTAATATCTGATTAAAAGTTTATAAATTACGAAGTTTTTGTTAAACACCAATAAAGACAAAAATTAAAAGAATAAAAATAGAAAAGAGGGGTAATAAATGGGGGTTAAACAGAGAGAGAGAAAAGCAGTAAGCCAACCAGTCAGAGTTTGTGCCCCTCAAATGTTAGTAAGGCTCATTCAACTGCCGAGGAAGACACACCATTGTTTATGACGGCAACACGGTTTCCATGACGCTGGACGTGCGGGCATCCCAGAATCCTCACCTTCCTCCCCCCCGCCCCTGACGTCGTCGTCATGTTTTCTAATGGGCGTGAAATAAAGAAACATAAGAATGCGCCTACAACTAGAGACATCAAAATAAAAGGTCGTCACACGGAGCATCTCTGAATGTCCAAGTGACTTACTATCCGCTTAGAAAACGTCATGCACCTTCAAGTCATTCCATCCAAGTGGTATAACGTGCTCCAGACGGGGTTCGACCTTCGGGCGAATTACCAGCTGCCGTACCCAAGTACCAGCAGTCCTACGGGTTCCCTAAGTCTCCGTAATATTGTTATTATTATTATTATTTATTTATTTAGTGTTCTGTCTGCCGACAGGTCCATATGAACAGGATCCTTCCATCCTTTTCTCGGACTGGGACCTGTTCATATACGTTCTTGGCAGATGATCCAGAAGTGGTTTGCCACTGCCTTCTTCTGTGTGTGAATGGAGTAATTGTTGGGATGCCACGGAGGAAAACTCCGTGTTGCCTAGACCACGGCCTTGCCCAACACAAGTTATAAATTCGGGCACCGCCGGGAATCGAACCCGAGACCCCAGGATTACAAGGCCAGCGTTCTAACCGCTAGACCACAGTGGCTTAATATTGTTATAATGTTATAAAATGTACAAATTCATCGATTTTCGAAAATAAATTCGTTCAATGAAAAATTATTCGTAAGGTGGAAATCCGTAAATCGAAAATGAAATTCCAGTTAATTTCAAATATAAAAAAAAAAATTGTTCCAAACTCCCAGAAAAATCACCCAATTTTTTCTCTCCACATACGTTAGAAATAGAATATAATCATAAATATATAAACGGAATTATTTGTACGATAATTATTATTTATTTAAACACGCAAACACCTACTTAAGTGTTTAATCAAATGTTTACATAAAACAAAAGTAATATGTTTCAGATTATGGACACGTATCATTTACTGTTCGTACCAAATAAATAGGTAATTGAAATTTAATTACTGTCATAAAGTGCGTAGCAGTTAGGATGGACAACGCACGTGAAAGTCAACGTGTCTGAACAGAGTGTGAGCTAAACCTACGAACAATCTAACCAATCAACCAGCTAAATTCCTTTATAAAAGTTGATAGTTGTGATCCAGGAGCTTACGTTGATTAATTCCATGAACCAGAGTCCACATTAAGAAGCTCAGAGTCCTTTAGATATTCAAAAAAATTCCCACCTCTTACGGAAAACGAAAGCTTATCTGATGTACAAGAGCCCGCTACTGAGTCTAGTCCACACCTTAACCCCATCTTCCTTACGATCCACTTTAATATTATCCTCTCATATACACATAGGTCTCGCAAATGGCCTTTGGGTAATTTTGAAAATCGAACAAAGAGTCGCTCTATTGAATGGCTGATTGTTTCAGCAGGTGGTGGATGACCGCAGTCAGAGCAGTCAAGGTCCTACCCAGACACTAACCCGGGTTGCCTAACAAGCAAGGGCACTGTCGATACTCAGCACAACACGATTAAGTCGTAACCCACAATTACTCTGTAGTTTGTTCTTTCTTGTAATTCTGCTCACTTCATACGAGATCTACATGTTCAATCGTAGAAATAAATCGATGATACTGACAAGAAACAGATTAATGTAGAGGAAAGTTATTTTCGTCACATTTCTGGTCCATACGGTGTCGAGTATAAAGATTGCTGCAGTCTGGTAGAACATGACTGACTTTTCGGATGTGTTTTTTGCCTCCGTCATCAGGACGATAATCGCCCTCATAACGGAGACAACAAGTACGTCCATAAACTTCTACCAGAATTTCACAGCGTACAAACCCAAAAATCAAACTTTTTATATATATTTTTATTCGGTTGGTACGCGATTCTGAACTCAGTTGGCTATCCTGTTTTTTTGTCTATCTATCCAGACAAATGTTTGGAACATATTTTCAACAGGATACAACCCCCCTTTTCAAAAAACGCTTATCTACTATCCGTTTACTAACAATTCATCATTTTATTGAACGCTGTATCACATCACAGTAATTAAATGGCCTGTACATGTATTTTTCACTTTTTCAAACAGCGTCCACTTCTCTTTTGCAACACTCCGATGTAAATTCGCGTAATATACGGGTACTTAATTTGCTACCACGCACGGACCAGTTATGGGATCCCCTCAACCTACCACGTAATGGGTGTCTGAGGGGTGGGGAGTCCTCCCCCCGGGTAAAGCGACAGAGAAACGTCAAGCTTCCAACTCACCACCATCTAATACAGAATGGGTCAGACTTTACCTCAGCTCCACGAAATTTCTTCCCCTGTCGAAGCCAATTAAAAGGTATTTCACGAACGAAGTACATTTAACTTAAACTGACGTAACAACCTCGGCGATATAAGAACTGTGTTACACGGAAGGGAAAACCTCACTATTATGTGTTCCTCTTATGGTCGTCGAAAACGTCATTAATAAAAATTAAAATAACTTTCTGCACTCTTCAAACGAACTTCACGCAATGAGTGTCCTTTCTCAAGTACTTAGTATCATTTCATTGCAAAATTTACTTCGGTACACACTGCTACGAAAAAAATGATTTTATATGAAAAGTGGACTCTGAGGGATGGGAAATGGGGCAGGTCCGTTATAGGCCGCAGTTTCACAGATATTCTCTCTCACTCTGTCATAACAACAACAATAATAATAATTATTATTCCGTCAGTTTTGTCCACAGCGTCCTCGAGGTGTGTAACAAACATTGCCCAATATTATGGCACTACAATTTTAATACTAATTTGAGACTAAAACTCTGAACTAACACTTTTACGAGATGAGAATAAAGAAGTTTGATGCAAGGATGGTACAGCAGGTCAAAGCCGAAACGTCCAAAGAAAAACTTGTACCAATTTTATCTATCCGAGACTTGGAAGTTCTCAAACGCAGACGCCGATTGCAATATTCTTGCTTTTGGTTACCGACGTTTCGAAGGGACTGTAAATATCACGATCTATTCTTCCAGTGTTCCTTTGTACATCAAAATCACTGTTACGCTTAAAGACGTTGGCGAACATGTAACGACCTACATGAAGAAAACTAAAAATACCCTTAGCTCTCAATTCTCAGTGTAGATGCAGTAAACGATTTAGAGTGTCGTCTGTTATTCACAGAACAACAAAAAATGACTCACTGTAATGAAAGGGTGCCAAATGGATGTACTGAAACAGGCGTATCTAATACAAAACATCTCTACAATTAGACGAATGAAAGTGATTTTCTATCAACGGACTCAAATTTCAATTGTTTTCTGCAGAGGGTGAACACTCCGAGAGACAATATGGACGGGAAATCAATTCAAATGATTAATACTGCTCGCCGAATAACATAATCCCCAAAACGAGAGTATCAAGCCTAATGCAAGAATTTGGTTAAGAAAGACGAAACGATTATCAGTTAAATAAATCTAGAATAAAAATGAACAAAAATTGTTTCGAGAAGAAAATAACCGAGATCTCAGTTACATCTCAACAAACCGAAACTCCTCAAAATAACAGATCGTGTTTAAATTGACTGTACCCAGTTTTAGTGCTGGAAGCAATTAAAAAATAAAAATAAAGTACATTAACAGCCTTGGGAATTATCATTTTCAGGTTGTCTGTGGCACTTCTATAGTTTTGATAGTATAAAATAATTTGCATACATTCACGACGTATTTAGGAATTCTTTTTATATAAATTTTACTACGGTAGAGTCTTACTGTAGTCGACACAACTGCAGTGTAAATGTGTGAACTTCCATTGGTCACTTGAAACGAAAGTGAGATCACAAAATACCAGCTATCATTCTGCGGAGATATTTAACTGCCATACACAGTTTTAAACAGTTCATATCTATTAAAATTTCAGACTCATCAGCTGACAATCTTACGAAACTGAATTCCTCGCGGTTCTAAATGCGTATATGTTGGTCTTCTCGGT